TTATTGTCATCAGGAAATTTAATATGGTGAATTTGCTTATTCATTACATCTCTCACTTTTTTTTTGATCTTCACTAAAAACAACATCGGGTAATGCATCTTCTTTAACAGTCACGTTATTTGTTTTCTTTTCATTTTCAATAAAATTTGCAAAATAGTTTAGATCCCCATAGTGTTCGTAATCCTTAGATGCTAAACTCCAATCATGATTTATATCAATTTCTCGATTACCTGCTTCTACTTTTTCACCACTTCTCTCATTATGTAACCTGGATACTATCATCCAATCTTAGTTATTTACATTATCACTGCTTTCATTTTCTACTTTCTCTTCCTGTTCACTAACAACAGTAGGTAATTCCCCTACGTCAATTTCTCTACTATTACAACTATGAATAGATTGATGTATGGTTTTCCATTATAGACTTAATTAAATAAATAATTAAATTAAAATATGACTTACCTCATTCCTGATCAAGTTCCTTATTTTATATAATTCCATTTCCTGCATACTTATCACTGATCTGCATTAAATATTGGTTCTGCATTTCTTTTGGTTCGCTTTCTGCGTTGAGGATCAACATATTGTTTATCATCAAAATGCGAATCACACATAAAAAAACTTATTGTGTAATGCAGAGGGATGAAAATTGAGCAATTGCCTGTTTCCAGATCTTTGTAACCACCTCAATACTCTATAGCAAAAAAAAAAAAAAAATCTTAGTTCAAAACTGTAATTCGACCCTCCGTACGTACAAGTGGCTATCTTTTTGGGCGTTGCAGACAAAAGGCTATCTTTTTGAGCGTGGCAGACAAACGGCTAACTGCTTTTCCTACCTCGCGACTTTGGGTTCTAATATCTCCCAGTAGAGGTTGTGTAACACTATGAACGTATAACCAATTACTCTTTGCGGTTGTCAAAGCAGGAAATTTCCTACCCGGTAATTTTATGTCTCTTGCTTCGGGAGTTATTCAATATAAACGTGGACAACCCTAACCTCAAAGAAAAGCAGATAGCCGTTTGTCTGCCAAGCTCAAAAAGATAGCCGTTTGTCAGCCACGCTCAAAAAGATAGCCGCTTGTGCGTAGGGAGGGTCGAATTATTCCTTGATGGAAAAATAGACATTGGGAAATTCATGTACACCATTGAGACAAATTCACTGCCCTGAACACATGACCAAGACATTGCCAACGCTATATTCCATGACATCATGACATCAGGGCCATAGGAAAATCATAGAACACTACATTTGAACACCTTATCACAACTTAAAATTGTCTTCTTCAGACAACATGTGCTCACCTTGTCTGACTTGCAATGTCAGTTTTCCACTCAGGGAATATATATGTATTTAACACTATGTTCTCCTGCACTACAATTTACAACACAACATTGTCTTTTTGATGAACTCATAATTCTTTTATTAGCTTTTTTCTCATTACTCAATGTGAGCTAAACAAAAGTTACAACACACTAAAAATGGTTCTTAACATG